CTAAATATTGACTCAATTTAAGAAAATTGATGACATAATCAATTGTTTTAAGAATTTCAAATATCGAATATTTTTAGAGACGGAACAAGTAACACGCTGTAATAATTTGTACCTGAGAATTTTGGCCGGTTTCTTCTTTTGCTTCTTGCCCTTCCGTACCGACTTATAGCGTGACGTCTTGCATCTCGTACAAATCTCTTTGTTGGCATCATCTCCCCAGTATAGCATACAGTCATTTGGGCATGCATCTATCTTCTTATAGTTCAAGCCAAGCTTGTTAATAATCTTTTTTGCTTCGTAAAAAGATGGAGGGAATTCAGCTTGGGGGAAAGCATCTCCTAGTAATTCCAGCAACATAGACATCGCCTTGTCAGTCATACCGCACAAGCATTTGATGTGATACAGCCTCACCAAGAATGACAACTTCGAATACTTTGTACACCCAGAATAAAGAGGCTTGTCAGCTTCGGTCATGAGGTCAAAAAATTCCCGAGCAGTTTCGTTTCTTAGAAACTTCGGTTGAGGTCCCTCTACTTCATCTTCGTTGGGATTCGAGCTTTCGTGAACACCAAAAGCATCACGCACAGCATCATTCACGGCATCGGCTTCATCCACTCGAACTCCCATCCGTGAAACTACTGGCACTGACTCAGCACCCATATCTAGCCGTTCCCCATGTAGTTGCCAAAATACGTACTCTCGCGGAAAAGGCTTAAAGATTAAATGTTCCCTAACAATATCTTTGGGATGCCACTTTTTGAAATTACATTTAGGACAGGGACACTGAATCTTACCATTTACGGCAGCATTGGCGAAAGCAAAATCCAAGAAATAGTTTAGACCAGCCAAGTATTGCGGAGTCGACCGGTGCAAGTTGATCCACGACCTATCCATCACTAATAATGCTCAAATTTCGTGAAAATATGACACAGAGCTCAAAGAGAAGTTAAAATGGAATTCAGTTGGAGTGCTTCAGCTTATAAAGGAGGCTGGTGGAACGGTCATTTTTTTGTAGCGGTTACAATACCGCTACAAATTTGTAGCGGTTTTAACGGAAATTTTCATTTTCCAGCGGTTATTAACCGCTAGAAATTCTAAATATCGGTTACAAACCGATAGAAATTTCTAGCGGTTTAACGGGAATTTTGTGAGAATTTTCTAGCGGTTATAAAACCGCTAGAAATTTAGGCCAAGAACTGCTAGAAAATTAGAAAAATTTTCTAGCGGTTTACACGAACCGCTAGAAAGTTTCACGATGCTTAAAATCCAGTTGAATTTTCTAACGGTTTTTCAACCGCTACAAACGACATTATTTTTAAATATTAAATAGAAATACCGCACAATAAATTAATAACATTACAAAAATAAATATTTAGTAAATTAATAAATGATTATAGAATTATTTTGATTAATTAACATGTTTAACGTGTTTAATAAATTGTAATGTTGATGTTGTAATAAATAAATAAATATTTCAATATTAATTAGTACTTGACATAAATAAAATTATAGAAATAAATCAATAAAGTAAACAAATAAATATAAAATTTAAATAAATATCTAAATAGTATATAAAACCGTAAAATCAAGATTCTAATAAAATCCGATACAATGAAAGCAAATCATGGGTGGGGGGCAGAAGCAGCATCATCGTGATCATCCTCTGCTGAATCCTCCGGCTGGGGGTGGGCAGGCCGCTCAACCTGCCGGGACTGGACTGGCGGATGGGGGGTAGGGGCGGGACTGGTGGCATGTGTAGGTCGGGGATGTCAGGAACCGAGATGTTTGGAGCTATACTGACCACCACATGACGCAGAGCCGTAGCAGCTGCCAAGAGCTGGTCAAGCTGCGTCTGGAGCTGACGATCACGCTCCTGGAACTGACGATCACGCTCCACGATCCTGGCCTCGAACTCTTGTCTGAGCTCCTCTCGCAATTCCTCTGAGGATGAGGAACCCGGCCGCTTCGCACTCGCATGAGAGCTCCCAGCAGTATATGAAGGGCCAGCGCCACTTGAGCGGGGCAACCTAGTCGGTGTAGGTCCAAGTCCAAGCCCGCTAACTCGACCAGGGTGCTGCGGCCGGCCACGACCCGCTAAAAGTGAGGCGGTGGGATCCAAGGCAGACCCCTGAGACTCACGCAACTCGGAATCGACCTGAGTCATCCGTGCCTACCAAAATTAATATAAAGAAGTTAATTATAATATAATGATATCTACACTGTGATATTATATTAATATTTAATTTATTACTTACCGCTATCTCCTCAACCTCATCCGACGCACGCCCGTCTCGGGGTCTATACACCATCGGCCACATCTCGCCATAAGTGGGCGTGTATCCCCGCTCCTGCTGCGTCTTTTCCCTCTGTAAATGAAATCAAAGAAATAATTAGTTACAAATTAAATACATATACATATTTAATAAATTTATTTCAAGTACTCACAATCTCGTCATAAGTGATCGCAAAGCTCCTGGATCCAGCCCTATGACGTATCGTCTGATGCCTGACGCTCCCAGCATTTCTCCTAGAAAGAGCCTGAAGCAAAATGTAAAAAAATTAAATTAAATGAGTCAAGTCGGATAAAAAATAAAGAAATTATAATTAATACAATATTATCATACCATCTGGTCAGCCGTCATCCTAAAATAGACGTAACTGGACCAGTCTTGGTCCGGGACTCCACAGGTACATCTGCCAGTATCTCCTGGAGGGGCCTCGTCCCGTCACCTTTCTTCTCCCTCCACAGGTCGGCCCTCCTGTTCTTCCATGCCATCCCGAGCCTCTTGATCGTGTCAGCCCTCAACTCCTCCCCCATAATAAATTTACTCTATGATTAAAATAATAAATTAACTAAATAACAAATTTTAAACAAATAATTAAGCAATTTCAATAATAAAAAACAAATAATTAGTTTTTAACTAATTTAAGAATATTATAAACAAAATATAAATTAATCAAAAACAAATAATAATTAAACAATTAAGTCATTTAAATGAAAAATATTTTTACTCAACTAAATTTAAAATTATTATAAGTAATAAATTAATGAAATCAATAACAAATTATTTTCATTTAACTACTTTTAAATAATTTAAATAAAAAATATATATATTCATTTAACTACTTTTAAAAATATTATAAATAACAAACAAATTAAATAAATAAAAAATTATAATCAAACAATTAAATTATTTGAAAAAAAATATATAATCATTTATTTAAATTAAAAAAAATTGTAAATAACAATTTTATATTACCTTCATTATTTCCCAGCCTTGCTGCTTCTTGTCTGAGGTGATCTTCTTCCAGTCCTGCACGTAGATGGGGAACAGCGTCCACTGCTGACCAAGGAGGCGCACGTACTTGTTGTACAACTGGCCACCTTTCTTCGTCGGTTGGCCCAACTCATTGAGCGGCACAACCACTCGTCCGCTCGTCATCATAGACAGCTCTCTGGCTGTCAGCCTCCGATAGGACCTGTTCCCCTCAGTGTCTGCAAAATTTAATTAAGAAATAAATTATATATCAATAAATTAATACAATTTCTATATAAATTAAATACTGATCAAAACTTTAAAAAGTTAAATAAATACTTACCGACAAATTCCACCTCATAACCAGCTTGACGTCTCGGAGCAGGACGCTGCGCAGCCTGGGGATACTCATTCCCCTGATCCTGCTCCTCCTCCTCCTCCTCGTCAGCAGCATCAGCATCAGCATGGGGTTGCTCATCCCCAGTAAAATGAGCTTCCTCAGTCCGCTCAATATCATCCTGCTCCATAAAACTAAGGATATCCTCCTCGCTAAGATCGTAGTCATGAATGCTGGGGAATGGCTCACCAGCATCATGATGAACCTCAGTGGGTCCAGCTCTCTCAGGATCAACTGGGTCTTTCCCGTGTCGACGAGTCATCCTAATAACAATAAATAGTAATTATTTATAAATGAAATAAAAAGAAAAATTATTTATAAGCTACAACATAATAAAATAAATAAAATAAAACATAAAATAAAAAGTATTTATAATAAATTACTATTTTTACCTGAAAATAAGGATCTGCAACTGAATCAGAACTCGAATATGTTTGTGGAAAAAATTCAGCAGAGCTTCGCTTCCAGAACGATTGAAGAAGTGAGAGTGTGGGGGGGTATATATAGACCGAGAAATCCTAGCGGTTCGGTCCAAACCGCTAGAAATTTCTAGCGGTTTTGGGCCGAACCGCTAGGAATTCCCAACGGTCACATGTGCCTCGGGAATTGGCTAGCGGTTCGGTCCAGAACCGCCAGAATTTCTCTCGGTTCGGGCCAGAACCGCCAGAATTTCTGGCGGTTCGGTCCAGAACCGTTAGAAATTTCTGGCGGTTCTGGCCCAAACCGCTAGAAATTTGTAAACTCCTCGGGGAATGAAAAATATTTCTACCGGTTCATGCATCAACCGCTAGAATTTTTAGGTTTCTAGCGGTTTATTGGCCTGAACCGCTAGAAAGTAAACGTTACAAATTTGGCGCCAAGTTCCCGCCAAAGCCCGGGGAATTTTCTAGCTCTAATTTTCTAGCGATTAGGTCGTAACCGCTAGAAATGTGCGGGCAATGGTCAAACCGTCTGTATTTTGCAGCGCTTTTTAGAGAAACCGCTAGAAATATTTGGAATTTCTAGCGGTTTAGTTGAACCGCTAGAAATGTTCCGCTGCTACTTCAACATTTTCTTGTAGTGTAACTACTTTAGCTATTGTCATTTATTCTTTTTAAACTAAAAGTATTTAAATAATTTCATAACAAGTTAATCTCACATTAGTTTATAGAGACTCATCGTTTAAATTTGTTGACTTTAGTTTTGAATTTAGCATATGAAAATTATTAAATTGTAAATCAGATTTTTTGTCACACTCTAATAAGTTTTTGCTACAGTGAACTTATAAATAGTAATGGAAAATCTGGTTTTTTTTTTTTTTTAAAAAGGGATGCAAAGGGAAGAAGGTGCGGACTGGCTCCTGAGGACTGTAGGGCGTCATTTAGGTCATCTATGGCGCCGCTCACTAAGGCGCTGAAGTGTTCCTCGTTGCAGGCGGTTCTTCTACACTAACACTAACGGCGTTCGACGAGCACGACGTTGCAGTTGTATCCCTGACACTCTGCTTCTCATGGCTTTCGTCTCCAGCTACAAGCTTCTGCGATGCAGACCCAGTGTTCAACTCGTTATCCCCAAAGTTTCAGTCTCTTCCACCCTTGATCTCGTCCGCTTCTTCAGTTCCGCTGAGGATTCTTCCTTTGATGGAAGCGCCGCCCATGATGATGAGCCAGTTGCATCCAGTCCACAGCAGGAACCCAGATTCCAGAGGGCTGCAGATCAAGAACCGAATATGTTTCAGAGACGCCCAAGAGGTAAGCATCAAACCCCTGAAAAATTAGAGGATGTTATCTGCAGAATGATGGCGAACCGTGCTTGGACTACCCGGTTGCAGAATTCAATCCGGAACTTGGTTCCGGAATTCGACCATTCCCTTGTTTATAATGTGTTGCATGGCGCTAAGAAAACAGAGCATGCGTTACAGTTTTACAGGTGGGTTGAGCGTGCTGGACTTTTTAACCATGACCGAGACACCACTTTGAAAATGATTCAGATTTTAGGTCGCTCTTCGAAGCTAAACCATGCTCGGTGCATTCTGTTTGATATGCCCAAGAATGGTGTTGAGTGGGACGAGGATTTATTTGTTGTATTGATTGATAGTTATGGTAAAGCTGGAATAGTTCAGGAGGCTGTTAAAATCTTCCAGAAAATGAAAGAATTGGGTGTAGAAAGAACCATTAAATCTTATGATGCTTTATTTAAAGTGATTCTTAGGAGGGGACGGTATATGATGGCGAAAAGGTATTTTAATGCAATGTTGAGGGAGGGAATAGAGCCCACTCGTCATACATATAATATCATGCTCTGGGGTATGTTCCTGTCTTTGAAGCTGGAGACTGCTCTGCGTTTCTTTGAAGACATGAAAGGCAGAGGCATTTCGCCAGACGTGGTAACTTATAACACTATGATCAATGGGTATTATCGATTTAAGCAGGTGGAGGAGGCGGAGAAATTATTTACTGAGATGAAGGGAAGGAACCTTGTGCCTAATGTGATAACTTATACTACGATGTTAAAAGGGTATGTTGCAACAGGGCAAATTGACAATGCGCTTGCGACCTTTGAAGAGATGAAGTCATCTGGTATCAAGCCAAATGCTGTCACGTTCACTACCTTGCTTCCTGGGCTTTGTGAAGCAGACAAATTTGTTGAAGCTCAAAATGCTTTGACGGAGATGGTGAATAGATATATTACTCCTAAGGATAATTCCATCTTCCAGAAATTGCTGACTTGCCAGTGTAAGTCTGGTGACTTGGATGCAGCTGCAGATGTACTAAAGGCAATGATTCGACTGAGCATTCCTACGGAAGCTGGTCATTATGGAATTTTAATTGAGAATTTTTGCAAGGCTAATGCATATGATAGGGCAGTAAAATTATTAGACAAGTTAGTTGAGAAGGACATCATTTTGAGGCCACAGAGTTCTTTAGAAATGGAACCTGGTGCTTATAACCCGGTGATCGAGTATCTGTGCAATAATGGTCAGACTTCTAAAGCAGAAACATTTTTTCGGCAGCTAATGAAAAAGGGTGTCCAGGATTCAGTTGCTTTTAATAATTTGATCTGTGGGCACTCAAAAGAAGGCAACCCTGAATCAGCTTTTGAAATTATTAAGATCATGGATAGGAGAGGAGTTCATAGAGAAGCAGATTCTTACCGGCTGCTTATTGAGAGCTGTTTGAGGAAAGGTGAACCAGCTGATGCTAAAACAGCTTTGGATAGCATGCTTGAAAGTGGAAACCTGCCAGATTCATCGCTTTATAGGTCAGTTATGGAGAGTTTGTTTGGTGATGGTAGGGTTCAAACTGCAAGCAGAGTAATGAAAAGTATGGTAGAAAAAGGGGTGACGGAGAACATGGACTTGGTTGGTAAGATCTTGGAAGCCCTTCTAATGAGAGGTCATGTTGAGGAAGCCCTGGGCCGAATAGATTTGCTCATGCTTAACGGGCATACACCTGATTTTGATAGCCTTTTATCTATTCTTTGTGAGAAAGGAAAGACAACTGCTGCTTTGAAGCTGTTAGATTTTGGTCTTGAGAGAGATTGTATTATAGACTTCTCAAGTTATGATAAAGTTTTGGATTCCCTCCTAGCAGAAGGAAAGACCCTCAATGCATATTACATTTTATGTAAAATTCTGGAAAAAGGAACTACATCAGATTGGAGTAGCTGTGAGGAATTGATCAATAGCCTTAATAAGGAGGGTTACACAAAGCAAGCAGATGTTTTATCTAGAATGATCAAGGGACCTGAGAGAAGCCCGCTGAAGAAAAAAGGCAAGAAGCAAGCTAGCATGGCTACCTAATGTATTCCGTCTTCATCATTTCTGTTTTAGAGGTTAGCAGTATGATGAGCTATTATTTCAGAGCAATAATTTGTCACAAATGGATCCAAAGTTGTAATTCCCTTCGACTGATTGTGATGTTCTTCATGCTGGATCCCAATCATCTAGGCTTAAAATTGCTTATTTTTATGGTTCACATCCACCTAGTGATATCCAAGTTATCCAATTTTTTTTTTTACATGACATGTTTTGTTGGAATATTGTAATTGAAAACTGAATGCCGGTTTTCTATTTAATGTTTAGAAAATTCTCCTGAAATGTGAATTGGATAGAAGTTGATTGCTTTTTGTACTGCCGTTTCATACCTGAGTTTCCCAAAAATAAAAAGCAACCTTGCAATTGAAATGTTCGTAAAGGTGAACTTTGGTTTCAGAACTTCGTATCATCTAGTTTGAAACTGGTACAATGATACCAACTTGGGAGTTTATTTTTTTCTTCTTCTTTATGTGACTGTTATTTGTTCTGCACTAGAAGATCTGCAAAGTATGAAAGGTTTGCATGTCAGACTCCATCTACTACTACTTTTACTAATTGAAATGTTACAAAGTTAAATAATACATCATTCAAAATGTGAAACGACAGTTGATTTTGAAACATAACCAAAAGAAAAAGATTTTGAAATGGGGAGCATGAATACTTCTCTTAATGAAAAAGGATGAATGTAACTGCGCATGAATGGATTCAATGATATAAAAATCTTGCTGCAGATATAACAGGCAATTGACAACCTTACATTTTAGTGGGTGTTTACCATAATGGCTGTAAGCTCGTTAACCAGTCATTGAAGGATGGCTCTCTCTCCATGCCTATTCTACCTAGCCAAAGTGCTTCTAAACGTTCATAGTTCAGAAATTGTTTAAATTGAGTGTGGTTGACCGTTGAAAAATACAGGTATTTGATAACTGATAGCGCCTTCCTCTTGGATGATTAAATACTCTGGTGAGATATATCCCTCAACTTCATATCAGTTCCCCTCCTCTTTCAATTTTTGAAGTGATTGAGGTTGAAGGGTACTATATAATCTTTGTGCAGTGCGGCCAATTTTACTTAAACAAATTTCTCAGCCTGTTGGCAGAATTTTACTCTGACATGAAAAGGGAATTTCATTTGCTGAATATGAAAATTCTGCATGCATGTACAGTTGTCTGAGTTCACCTGTTTAGTTGTGGAAAACCTCAGTTTATCGTTTTTTTTACATATATTGTTGAAATATTTGAAAATTCATGTATAGAGTAATAAAATAAAGTATTATCTGTTACAGCATCTTGTCCTAACTCTCCTGATTGAGGTTTGTTAATGGAATGGGTTTAAACTAAAAGTAAGTAAAGCTTCCCTGGAGGATATGGTCCATATCTGCTGGTTGGGTCAAATGATTTTGGAAGGAAATAAGAATAATATTGGAATTACGGATGAAAGAGGTAGTGAAGCTTGTCAATTTGTATTGAAGGACTAAAACAAAATTTTAATTAATGACAGATCCTTGTTTTTGCTCAAAGCCTACCGCAATCTCTTAAATTTGAAAAGAGGCAAGTTGAGCAAGATATGAGTGTAGTGCAACCAGTAGTTTTTAGTATAGGTTGTGATAGAACAGGTTATGGATGTTGATAGTTAAACATCATGGGCATGGAAGAACAAATAAGGCTATTTGGCAGTCTCGTTTGGTTGGTTCCTTGCTGCTATGCTTGGACTCCATGTGAGCCCCCGCTCTCTCTCTATTTTTTGTTTCTTCATTTGTTTAAGTTTCAACCTTCATTTACCCCGTTCAGTTCCTGCGTTTTACATTTAATCTTTTCTTCACCTTTTTATGGCTAATATTCCAGTAGCTCTAGTTTTAATATGTTGCCGGATCCATACCCTGCATTATGTAGTAATCGTGTGTTACTTCCAACTATTGTTTTCTTTTCAACTTTTTTCTCTTTCAAGGTACCTTGCAAACTGCTTCTTCAGTTTTGTTAACTTCCTTTCATTTGTAAGGAATAAATAGTATATTGGGGTTGATGCTAAGACAAATGACTGTGGAAGTCAACTTCCTTTTGCTTTTGCTTCTTCAGCATTAAATGACTTTACGACAGCCAAAGTAGCAGTACAACACAATTTGATACCTTACATCAGAATGCTATGCAGCTTAATATTTTTGTTGTTCGGATGTGTTCATGCCCATTTTTGTGCCTTTTTCATTTTATAAGTTTTTATCAAGGCAGGAATATGTAAGAAGGTGTGAAGTTGATGCTGCGGATTGTAAGAGAATATATCTTTCTGAGTATGTGTCAGTTTCATTTTTTGTAGTCGTTCTTAGTGTTCTTATTGTCAAATTTCAAATTAATTCCTTATCTAAACGTGTTCTAATATGTCAGAGAAATGGATTCATTTGGTTGAATATATAAATGGGCATGAAAAAAAGATTCAATTTCCCTGCCATGGATCTATGGGCTGTTGATCTTATATCATATTTACATTATTCAAATAATTCTATGATGAACTATTCACTTGTTACTTTGCGTCATATCTGACACTTATTATATCAGAATGACTAACTTTTCCTTTGATGGATTAAATTTCGTCCTCATTTTTGACTTACTGGGAACAAGTGATCTATAATGGATTCTCAGACTGCTATAAGCAGGGTGGAATGGGGGTGAGTCTTCTCATCACTTTCATCTCAGGCTGTTATTTGATGGGTGGAAAAGACTGAAATTTCCAACATCCTGACCACGCATCCGAATTTTTTTGACTGAGGAATGTGAAACCTTTTGGCTTGATAAATGATTTATTTACCTTATTCCAAATGTATGAGCATCATATTTGGAATAACGTTAGTACATAACAGTCTCTTTTGGCAAACATTTTAGAAAAACCATTTCTTCCATTTTCATGCATTTAATCACGAGCAAATTCTTGCATCCGATTAAAATAAGAGCTGAGTCTTTCTCGTTATTCTTGTATTTTATTTGTTATTGCAAAACACGATGAACACATCACATCGCATCAAGAGCTAATTTGCAAAGGTCAACTTTTTTTTCGAAGTAGTATACTTCTCATCCTGCTCTCTTAGATCTTTTATTCCAAAACAAGATTTCTTTTTTTACCTACATGCTTTACACTTCAGATGGTTTCAAAGAATCAATAAAAATAATTAAAACAAAGTCTGGGGTTTAATTTGATAATTTTTTCCTGGTATCTTATTGTAATCTTAAATTCAGGGGGAAATTAAAAAAATTATTTATTCTCCACTTATTCATTTGCCCCGCGAAAAGAATCTGCATGAAAAGGAAAAATACTATTCTTCCGGTCTTAAATATAATATTCTTTTTTAGTAAAAAGGAATATTATATTTAGGATCGAAGGAGTATTGTCTAATATAGTTTGAATAAGTTGTTCAACATGACATAACTGTGCAAGTGCCATGCATTATGTGAAATCCGAAGAAATTAGTTGCATTGTTAATGGCTTTTGAATAATATAGCTTGTTCGGTGTGTGTTTGTATATGTCTATGGATACAAAATAATAGTTCTGAGCCGTCATCTAACCAATACATAATGCATGTTATATGATCATATAATAAAGTATAATTCTAAATTTTCATACTAAACTAAATTTTTTCATTATGGTGTGGGATAATCCACTTCTAAGTGATAGGAAACATACTATACGCAACATCAATGTTGCACTTTGATAAATAAGATCTACTTATTATGAATCTTGAAGAGCTGCTTAGTTAGTTTTACTCACATTCTAACCATTAAAGGCATCAGGAAAATTCTTAAAAAAAAAATTGCAATGACTATATTATATTTTTGGAGTATTAGTAAATTTATAGTATCATACTTTATTATAATTATTACTATTTTTTTTAAATAGCCTCAAGTCACCCTTGCAGCCAGAGGCGATTGGTGCTGGAGTTTAGGTGGAGCTCTCGCGATAAGCAAGCTTTGTAGCCTCCGACTTTTTTTTGAAAACATTCGTAACCTAATTGGCAACCATATTCTTAATTTTATTAATCACGTGTTTTTCAGGTTTTTAAATTGAGATTTTTTTTAACATTTGTGATTATTCATAACTTTATTAATATCATTAACTACATGACTTTAGGTTTTTAAATTGATATTTTTTTTAACGTTTGTGATTATTCAGAACTTTATTAATGTCATTAACTACATGACTTTAGGTTTTTAAATTGATATTTTTTTTTAACATTTGTGATTATTCATAACTTTATTAATGTCATTAACTACATGACTTTTAGGTTTTTAAATTGAGATTTTTTTTCAACATTTGTACTATGAGTGATAACTTTTATAAAGATATTCACGATTTTATTAATGTCATTAATCGCATAATATGATAAGCTTTTAGACTTGGAGAAATTAGGAAAATAGGAACCACGATAAAATCTAACATATTTAATATGCATTTATTTTATTAAATTAAAACATGTATTAAATTAATAATATTAATTTGAAAATCTATCATATAAAGTGGTTAATGACATTACTGAAATCGTGAATATTATTATAAGAATTGTCAATCATGCTATAAATATTAAAAAAAATCCTAGTCTAAAATATAGTTAATGACATAGTGGAATTGTAAATATTATTATAAAAGTTGTTAATTATATTGTGAATGCTAAAATAATCTCATTTTAAAAATCTGAAAAATATGTGGTCAATAATATTAACAAAATCGTGAATATCGTTATAAGAATTGTTAATCATGTTACAAATATCCAAAAAAAATCAAAAGAATAATTGTCGGTCGTCGAGCCTTGATAACCAAGACAAGCGACCCAGCTGAACCCCAGCGATGGTCAACGACAATTCGCTCGCCAGTGAAGGTAACTTGGGGCCCTTTTTTTTTATAAAAAAAAACCAAAAGTAATATTATAAATTTCCTCACATTTTAAAATTTCAATATAGTCACTATGTCTGATTTGAAATTTCAAAAAGTGGCCTGAATTTGAATTCAAGTGATCTTTTCAGATATTTGAAATTCTACTAAATTTTTTTTGAATTTTTTCTAAAACATTATCTAATTTTGGCGAGATCAAGAGCTAAGACTGTCGAGAAGCTAGATTTCATTTATCCTCCATCATTTCTAGGCTTCCGATATGGATGAAACTACGAGAGAGTGATGTCCTTTAAAACAGATGGGGAGGACTATTATGCACCCATTTGGATTGATTTATTTAAATATTTATAAGCATATTTTCGTATACTGAAACAAAAATTCTCTTACATATTTATCTCGTGTTTTATAA